ATTTAGATGAAATGTTTACATGTATTATAATTTTGTACACGTAATTTTCATGTAATTTATTATATTATTTATATAACAAATAATCAGCAGTTTCCGTTAATTAACCTGCCATGTCAGCCAAAAATTAATGGAAGGACCAAAAAGGGGCCGGATTTGTGAACAGTAAGGACCAAAAAGGGAATTTTTTCGGTACAGGGACCAAAAAGGGGCTTTTTCCTATAGTAGAGGGACCAAAAAAGGTATTTAACCATATATTATCAATAATAATTAAAAATGAATGTATTTATTATAATAAAAATAAAATATAACAATAAATCATATAATGATTAATTGAAGAATGAATTAAAAAAGAGAAATGTGTTTTTGTGAATAAAATCTTTAAAAAATTAGGAGGAAAACATCACAAAATTATGTTGTTTCAAAGAAAAATGTGAATTTAAAGTTGATTAAATAGAGAATCATTTTTTTTTTTGGGATTTAATAGAATATTAAGAGAGAAAATAAAAAAAATACTAAAGAAAATTGTAAATTATTATATAGAATATTAAGAGAGAAAATAAAAAAATATTAGAGAAAAATGTAAATTTAAAATTGATTAAATAAAGAATTAAAGTTTTTCTTTTTAGGGTTTAATAGATAAGGAAATGTTTAAGAATCCCAAATTTCTAAATTCTCATAAAGTTCATTTTATTTAAATCATATCTTTATTTTTTGAAAACTTTTTATTTAAATCATAAATATTCTCTCTACATTTAAAATGATCCTTAAAATCCATACTATAAAAAAAATTTAACAAATAAAAGTTAGAGTACCATATTAAATATTTTTCAAAAGTTTAGGTCTCCCCCCCTCCCCGTCCTTCATTGGTTCCGCCCCTGGTTTAGCCACTGCCACAGCCCACAGCTTTCATGAAGAAATAATCAACCTCTCTTGCCAGTCAATATTTAAGACTTGTAAATCTTTAACATCTACTGACACCCTGATTTTTACTTTAACCACACAAACAGCAGTGGAAAGTTATTGTCGGGTTATAGTCTAATTGAATTCTAACGTACCAAAATACAGATATAAATAGACATGGAAAACTTCAATGGAGATATGTTAATCTTAGAAGTCACATAGATCATATATAAGCTCCAAAACCCTCTTTTCTCTTCCGATGGAACTCTTTGTTACTATTTTTCTTTTGTTTCTTTTTGGCATCCTCTCCTACCTTTGTAAGATGGCTTTTCATATGAAAAACCAACGTTGCTATATGTTGGCCTATGAGTGTTACAAGGCTACTGAGGACAGGAAGCTGGACACTGAATCATGTGCAAAAGTTGTGTTTCGGAACAAGAATCTAGGTTTAGAAGAATACAGGTTTCTCTTGAAAACAATAGTCAACTCAGGTCTTGGTGAAGAAACTTATGGCCCAAGGAATGTCATTGGTGGAAGAGAAGCAACTCCTAGCAATGCAGATGCACTTTGGGAGGTTGATGACATAATTTTTGACACGCTTGACAAGCTTTTTGCTAGAACAGGAGTCTCTCCATCTGAAATAGACATCCTTGTTGTGAATGTGTCATTGTTCTCTCCAGCACCCTCATTGACAGCTCGAGTTATGAACCGGTACAAGATGAGGGACAATGTTAAGGCATTCAACCTCTCCGGGGAGGGTTGTAGTGCAAGCCTTGTGGCTGTTGACCTCGTGCAGCACTTGTTCAAGACTCACAAGGATGCATTTGCAATTGTTGTGAGTACAGAATCAATAGGGCCTCATTGGTACTGTGGCAAGGAGAAATCCATGATGCTCTCCAACTGCCTGTTCAGGTCAGGAGGGTGTTCCATGCTCTTTACAAACAAAAGAGCTTGGAAACATCGAGCAATCATGAAGCTAAACCATTTGGTACGACTGCATATTGGCTCAAATGATGAAGCATATGGATGCTGCATGCAGGTTGAAGATGAGCAAGGCTACATAGGTTTCCTTCTCACCAAAGGCCTAACAAAGGCTGCTGCTAAAGCTTTCTCCTTGAACCTCCAAGTTCTAGCAACCAGAATATTACCACTGAGGGAACTTGTCCGGTATGCCATAGCATATGTTTACAAAAGCAAGATAAAGAAAGGAAATTTTGAAGCTGCAGGGGCAAGCTTGAATCTTAAGACCGGAGTTGACCACTTCTGTATTCATCCTGGTGGAAAAGCAGTCATAGATGGGCTTGGAAAAAGCTTAAAGCTCACTGAATATGATCTTGAGCCAACTAGAATGGCACTTCACCGGTTTGGCAATACCTCAGCCGGTGGTCTCTGGTATGTCTTAGGATACATGGAAGCCAAAAATAGGCTCAGGAAAGGTGACAAGATTCTGATGATCAGCCTTGGGGCAGGTTTTATGTGCAACAACTGCGTGTGGGAGGTAATGAAGGACTTGCAGGATGCCAATGTGTGGAATGACTGTGCAGATCGTTACCCTATGAAATGCATCGTCAACCCTTTCGTGGAGAAGTTTAGTTGGATCAATGATGAGTATCTGAGCTTCGTTAGGCTTCACTAGAAACCAGATTTCCTAGATTTTCCACCCGTTTATTAAATGTTATTCTTCCTCATTCCTATGTTTCATTTTTTAAATTTTCCATAATTTAAGCTTAAATTGTTGTTATTTTGATTCATTAAATATGAATTGAGAAGCAGCAGAATCTCAAATCATTTCAAGAGGCCAAGCGCTCCCCAAAAAATTTTTAAATTAAAGCGCAGGTGAATTGGAAGCTTTGAGGAGCCGTGCAGTGAGCACAAAGCACTATTCTTTCGCATTTTACTAGAAGTTACCGTGTGCTGGTTGCTTAAAGCGGCATATACCAATTTTTGGAGGGTTGCGCCCTTGTGAGTGCCGCGATGAATATAGGGAAAAGGTTCTTATGGGGCAACTTTTCGCACCCCAGATTCTCTTGATGCTAGTGGGTCCGGCCAAACTCTTTTAACGCCAGAGAAATTTGGTAAACCACTGACATAGGCTACCGAGTTTACCTTCTGTAATTCTGTAATGGGGAGAATGGGTGAAATGTTTGCCTCCTGTAATTCTATAAATTGGAAGAATGGAGTTGAAATGTATCGTAACCACAAGGCAAAAGGCAAGAAATTGAAAGAGAAATTTATAAAGAAAGTGTGGTGTGATAGGAGAATAGAGGAACAAATGATTAATCACGTTGTTAAATAATAAAAAAAAAAAAGGATAAAAAGTAATTTAAAAAAAGAAAAAGAAAAAAGAAGAAGCCCGTTTCATCCCACATCGAAGAAGAAGAAGAAGAGTGCACGAAGTGTGATGCAGGGGGCGAAATCCAAAATAAAAGAATAGGAATCTTTGCTGGACTAATAGGCCGATTGTACAGGGCCCTTGGAGCCCAAACAAATAAAGTGTGAGTTTAACAAATCGGCCCACTTTATTTTTTTGTTTTATAATAATTTTTTATATTACGAGAATGGTTGACTATTGTGATGCTAGGGTCAAAGGTTCTCTGCGTTGTTGACTAACTGCTAAGTACTAACTACTAACTCCAATATACGCGTGTTTGCTTTTGTTAATTTGTTGGTCGTTATTATTGCTAGTGACGT